CCGCTCGAGTACCGCTCCGAGCTATGGCGGTACGAGTTCACATCGGCTCCGCAGGCTTACGGGTCCGCCAGGAACCATCAGCGGATGCGAGCCCGTCTTCACCCCGCCTCCTCCTCCCAGCCTCAGCGCACGGGTTACGCCTCCTCCTCCTCTCACGACACTTCCCAGCACCGTTCCCCTTTCCGCGGTCGCCCCCACCGTTCCACCCAGCAGGGCCGCCACTTCTCGCGCCGCTTCAGCGCGCTCGAGTATGGGGCGCAGGACGCTGGTGCCCCGTCGTCGCCAGAGGGTGATCATAGCGATGACCTCGACCTCAGCGATGCCGTCCAGCACCACCTGGAGGACCCTACTCTCCCTATGGCTGAGCGCCTCCAGCTTATCCTCTCCACCCTTTCCCGGGCACGCAGCCGCCCTGGTCACGCTGGCGCGTCGCCCCTCGAGGTCCCTCAGCAGGACCTCCCTCAGGGCTTTGTTCCTCCTCGCGGTGTCCTTTCCGCTGAGGAGCGCGAGACTATTATGGGCCGACGTGGGTGTTTGCGATGCCGTCAGGACAGTCATACCTCCTTGCGGTGCCCTTATACCACCGCCCTTGACCGCCACTACGCTGACCTTTCCCGCCAGCGTCGTGCTCAGTCCTCCCCCGGCGCCTCGCATCCCCGCGGCGCCTCCTAGCCACGGTGCAGTGTACACCTGCGCCCTCCTCAGTAGTGGGCTTCCCGACATCTCCGTCGCGGTTCACGCCTCTCGCTACTGGAGTTGAGGTATCGCAGGACTCGACAGAGTGTACTCAGCCCTCTGTCGCAGTACCTTTTGCGCCTCCGCATACCACCGTCTCCCCTCCTTCCCCGCCGCGACTACCGACACGTCGTGCCATTCGCTCAGCCCGTTGCAGCGAGCAGCTCGCTTCTCGCGAGGACATTGTGTCCTCTATTCTGGACTTGAGCATGCTCCAGGCTCGTCAGGAGAGACTCACCCTCCATGTCGCTGCACTGCGTCGCCTTCTCGCCATCCTCTCTGACCTTGATCGCACCCTCCCGATCATCCCAGTACGACTCGGGACCTCCACGAGGGTGTACTCCGCGCTGTGGGATTCCGGTTCTCAGGGCGACTTCATTCACCCAGGCGTGGTGAAAGAAGCTCGCTTACCCACGACAAGGTCTCCGACTCCCATCTCCATTACCCTAGGAGATGACAAGACCCAACGCTTCTTCAATCAGACGGTCACCGACCTCCCTTTCTTCCTCACTCTTGAGCCGACTGATCGTTCCCTGGCGTCTCGTCGCCACCGCTCCTCTGCACATTTCGATGTGATGGAGACGGGGTACGACTTCATTCTCGGCACTCCGTGGTCTCGTCGGTTCCGCAGCACCGAGGCCGATTGGGCAACCAACACTCTCGTTCTCAAAACGAAGTGTGGATAGACGTATCGCGTACCTTTCATAGGTACCACCGCGACACCATGCCCCGATCCTCCTCCCCCGGAGCCTTCCGTGCCCACACCACTTCCTTTTATCACTGTCACCTCGCCTCGACAGTTTGCCCACTTCATCCGACAGGACGACGTCACCTTCTTTATGGTGAACGTGACGGATCTCTTACACTATGATCCACCCTGTCCCGACGCCAAGCTCATCCCTCTGGAGCCAGATGCCCCCTCTATCTCCATGGCTCCCATCTGTACTTCCGTCCCTCCGCCGTCCGTCGAGTCCACCCCGCCCTCGCACGCGGACGCTGACGCTGAGGAACTCGCACGATATATGGCTGACCTAGAGCCCGCAGTTCGTGACCTCATCCGAGAGTACCACGACGTTTTCCCATCGTCGTTCTCGTACGCCGGCATCCCACCGATGCGTGACGTCGAGCACTCCATTCAGCTTGTGCCTGACTATCGTGTTCACCACCAGGCACCCTACAGACTCTCGATCCCCGAGGCCACCGAACTCAAGCGTCAGCTTGAGGAGCTCCTGAGACTGGGTTTCATTAAACCCAGCAACTCCCCGTGGTGTGCACCCGTCCTCTTTGCTCGCAAAGCGGATGGAACTCTCCGTCTCTGCATCGACTATCTCAGTCTCAACTGCTACACGGTTAAGAATAGTTACCCCATGCCTCGTTCCGATGAGCTGTTCGGCCGCCTAGCAGGCAACCGCTTTTTTACAAAGATTGATCTTCGTAGCGGTTACCATCAGATCCGCGTCGCTGCAGCCGACCAGCCAAAGACCGCGTTCCGATCGGGATTCGGCCACTACGAGTTCACGGTGATGCCATTCGGCCTCACCAATGCACCCGCTACCTTTCACAGGGCGATGAACGACATCTTCAGGGACATCCTGGAGCAGTACGTTCTAGTCTACCTCGACGATATTCTGGTCTACAGTCGTACCCTTGAGGATCACCTCAGACACCTCCGCGACGTCCTTGACCTCTTGCGCAGACATGGCTTCTACGCCAAGCTGAGCAAGTGCCGCTTTGCCCAGCACAAAGTGGATTTCTTAGGACACTACGTGTCTGACCAGGGTCTMCACATGGACGACGCGAAGATCACTGCTATTGCGGAGTGGCCCACTCCCACATCCGCCAAGCAGCTTCGCAGCTTCCTAGGCCTGACCAGCTACTATAGTAATTTCATTCGGGGATACGCTAGGTAGTCCTACGTCCTTACCTCCACCCTCCTTCGGAAGAACCCACCCTGGGCTTGGACACCCCTCCACGAGGACGCCTTCCGCGCCCTCAAGAAGGCGGTGACATGCGCACCGGTTCTTCACCTACCCGATTTTGACCGCCCTTTTATCCTTACCACCGATGCGTTTGACTTCGCTGTAGGAGAAGTGCTTTCTCAGGTCTTCCCCTCCTCTCCTGATTCCTCTCATCCCCGTATCCCTCGCTTCCCACCACCTACCCCTGCCACTGCTTCCCGACTGACGCCTACTCGTCCAGCTACTGACGAGCCTTCTATTGACTATTCTCCTACCATCGCCGAGGACGGCACTGTCGAGTCTCGGTCACGTGATTGTCCGATAGCCTTCTTCTCCCGTCAGCTCCTGCCCGCCGAGATAAACTACACCGCTGATGAACGTGAGGTTGTCGCAGTAGTTTATGCCGCTCGGCACTGGCGCACTACCTGCACGAGGCACCGTTCACGGTGCGCGGACAACTCTGTTGTCCAGGCTTTTCTGACAAAACCGAAGCTCACTCCTCGACAGGCTCGCTGGTGGCGCGACCTATCCGAGTTTAGTTTCACCACTGAGCACATCAAGGGTGAGACTAATCGGGTCGCAGATGCCTTATCCCGGCGCCCTGACCACGACCAGGAGCAGATCCAGCTCTCTTCCATCTCGGTC